ACTTTGTGGATTGGTGTCAGACATATGGGTTAATGGGTTAATGTTGGACTTGTGGGCCTGGGAAGCATTGGGTTGGGATGTTTTCTTAATGCACACTTAATATAAAACTCTCTCTTATATGAGTTTCTGTGGATTTGTTTCTCTAAAGTACCCAGACTACTACACCCTCCTTCAGCTTGAGAAATGCTGCACACGTTCTTCCCTCTTGGTGTTCTAACTCCGGTGTTTGAACCTTTCATCATAATACTTGAGCGTCTCCAGCTAATGTTAGAGATTTGTTCCACTTTAACGTCATCATTTCTTCCTTCTGCTTTAGCTTCTCTACACTCAAGAGTAAGTTTCACTCGCTGACATTTATTTCTGTGTTTTCTCCTTTTCTTTTGAAATGCTCGTTTACTTTCTTCCTGTATGGTGTCCTTGATGTTCCACAACTTGCCTCCTCTTCAGTCTTTAATGTTCAGTGAGTCAAGTCTTTTCTTGACATGGTCTCTAAACTCAGGGCCATACTTGGTTCTTGTTTTATTCTGCTTCATCTTGAACTTCATATTAGCAATGGGTAATCTGTTCTGCATCTCTTTTGACCTTGTTTTGACTGGTAATATTGAGCTGCCCATTGTCTCTTTCTACAGTTGTGGTCTGTTTGACTACTGGATATTTTAACCAGTGAGATCCAAGTGTGTGGTTGCTGTTTATGGTGTTAGAAAATGCTTTTTGCAATGAGGAAGTTATTGGTCGTGCAGTTTTATCATGCTATCTGTGGAATTGTTTCTATCACCATGTCCATATTTTCCAACTGCTGTCCCTTCTTTTTTCCAATTTTCACATTCCAGTTGCCAGTAATTGAAAATTTTTTATTTCTTTGTATTTGGCATTAGTGATGGCAGATAAATTTGATAAATGCCACATTAATTTCCATATATATTTTATCCTATCATTAAATGTGTTGACATCAGGACAGATCCTGAATTGTTCTTTTTGATGATGAATGTAGTCCCATTACTATTCAATTTGTCAATCCAGGTATACTAGACTATATAATTGTCAAATCAACTAAAAAATGCCTAGAATATAAATTTTTTTGCATCCTATTTCATTTTCCCCCTGATTAGAGGGATTTCTTAGAGAAGCTAATGGGTCTCCATAAATCAAGAGGCGTGAACAGTAAGGATGCAGTTTTTGGTTCACAGCCCCAACTCTTCTCAGCCAACAATCAAGTTTCTTTCTGGCCTCATTCTCTCAGCCAAGGAGTCGGATACACTCCCTGGCACAGAGTAACCTCACTCAGCCAGCAGACTTGTCTCTCTCTGTTCGCTAGCCTCTCTCTTGGTCCCCAAGCTTCTGCCTCGGTGAACCCGGAAGGCACCCCACCTGTTGGTCGGTGAGGAGAAGTCCCCATGGTCTTGTCACTTCCTCCGAGTCTCCAGGACACAGCCTTCAGTCCAGCTGGTCTTGGGCCACCTTCACCGCTTCCAGCAGAAATCTTGTCCTTGCTCTTCCAATGGCCCTGGCGTTTCTCTGTGTGCCAGGTGTCTCTTATGCACAGAAAACGGATTTTATGGATGTGTGATTTTGATCTTTTAGCAGACTATCCTCCTACATAAAAAGAATGATGATGTTTTAAGCCCCACCCTTTAGAAAAGTAATTTCAAATATACCCACAAGGAAACAAAGGATGTGATTTAGTTCACAACCTCTACTAAGGTCAGGACTTAACCTCACCTTAATCCTGTAACAGAACTCCTTCCCAAACGGGATCATGGTGCAGGCATGGAGTCCAGAATTAAAATACCCCAGTTAAGGAATTATACCTAGAAGGGCCATATTAATTGACTGCATCTGAGGCCACCCCCTGGATGCTCTAGCCATTAACCTATTCGTCCTTGAGACAATAATGCCCTCCCTCTTTCATTTACACCTTCTGTAATTACAGTTTTCACAATCACCATTAACCCTGTTGGAAGGCAACCTTGACCATATCTTCTGATCAATATCTTCCCCCATCTTCTATTCTCCAGACCCATCAGGAAAAGAGAAAACTATTCACTTGGGATCCTCCTTTGTTTTACAACCATGAAAGCTTATAAGCCAGCAACTTCAATACTAGATTTCACCCCATCTGGGATATATCTTTTTCTAAATTGCCCATCTTTATCAACCCAGTGGTCTGGGGGGACATGGACATTCTTTGATCAAAAAATCTTCATTCCATTTGGAACTTTGAACAACTGCAACCATAAGCAAAATAAAGTCCAGGGAACCCATCAGTATGCAGCAACTTTCACCAGCTCACAGGATCCACATATTTTATCCAACCTGGTACTGCTAACCTCAGCCCTCGTCACTGCTAGGTCAGATGGATATCAGTCAGACAATCTGGTCCCTCCATCTTACTTTTGATGACTTCCAACCTACCTGCATTCATGCTTCTGACATGCCATGATTTGATTATTAACAGGTGTTTACAGCTGTTTCTTATCCTATTGAGTTATGCCGTATCAGCAATGAAGTCCTTGGAAGCCTTTATCAAACCATGTCACTAAGGTTGCCTCTGATTTGAGGAAGCATTTCTCCCTGAGCCCCGTTACATCTTCTGGTACTATATCAGACATTGTTCCACTGCTATTTATTTGTAAGATTTGCAGTGGTTGTTTTTTCTTCAGAGGTTAACACCATGTCCTTCTTTGAATACTGTTTAAGTCCAGAAGCACCACTGAAGTCTGTCCACCACAGGTGACCATACTGGAATCTGAAACACCTGTGGCTTAGCTTCCAGCATCACACCAAAACACCATAATCACAGTACAACCGACTGACCAGTGAGCTAAGTAACTAGAGGCCTGATTTTTAAAATTGATTAAAATGCAAAACTTGAAGGTGGTTCCAAGAGATTCTTATCTTTTATAGCAGAAATTCAAAGATGATGTTGAAAGATAATATAGCAGAAAGTCAAAAGGCAATGGCATACTATTGTAATTATATATTTGAAATTAGTTTCAAAAGATCTAAATACAGAAACATTCAAAAGTGTTCCTTTTAAAGAGAAGGGCAAGCTGGGTTCATGGGTGGGGAGATCTGTTGATTCTCATTAAATACCTTTTTGCAGTAGTATTTTTTTAATGTATATTTTTCTTTTGTATTTTAAATAAAATCTACTTTTACTTCTTTTGTTTTGCTCCACTTAATTTACTAGCTTTGTCAAAATTAACTTTTAACATGGTCAGGTCTGTTACCTGTACCAAACCTACCAACTAATTCCATTTTCTCTTATACTTCCTTCGCTCCACTCTTTACACCTCCCTCTATGCCTTCTGTGCCTTCTTGTCTCTGCGTGTGCGACATGTGCACACACACTCACATGCACACACATCTACTTTCCAAGTGTAAGTAGGAATCTTTCTTTGTAAATGAACTTGCATCGTTGTGCCTTTTTTTAGACTTCATTTGGTTAGGAATCACCCCGTCCTGTTTTGTTTAGTGTTTCTGATTCAACCTTGAAGGCAGAGAACAACTTCTACTTCCTACATGAGTTTTGGTTTCCGGAGCCAGCAATGATTGCTTTCTTTTGTACCCACCTAACCACTGCACTTATATCCAATGGTGTCCTAAAACTAGTTGGGGAAATATATGCTCCATTGCATTTATGCTTAATTATACGTGTTGGAGTTCAAGAATTTGTGTTGATATATTTCCTATGATACCTTGCACATAGTAATTGAAACAGTTCCTGAACAGCACACATATAATTGTTGTTGCTCTGGTGGTTGATTCAGAAGGCATCTAAGGATTTTGCAGTGAATGCCCCAGCACATTACAGCGACCATCAGTTTTCTTTTTATTGAGGTGCTATTAGTTCTGCTTCTTAGCAATAGCATGAAGAACATATGAAATAGATATGAAAGCACTTTTAGTGCCTCTCCTCTAAAATCCAATTATATGCGTATTGTCCCACATGATGAGGAATAACACATTCAGCGAACTAATATCTATAAAATATAGGTTGGTGATGTATTAATTTTATGAGCTTATTTGCATTATAAACACTAGCTTAGAGAGGGAAATGCCTTTTCCAAGGAACTGAATTGTTAGTGGTGGCATTCCAAGCCCTGAGTCGTTGTTTTGATACCAAGCAGCATGTGAACATCAGATGATGACGGGTTACATGCCTCTTAAGTCATAGATGATGAGATTGCTGCTCGGTGCTGCCAGTGAGCTAGCCCTAACTCATGACCAACTGCTCATGTGTGGTTGCAGATCAAAGTGTTTGAACTCATAGGGTTTTCACTGGCTGATTTTCAGAATCAATCACCAGGCTTGTCTTCGAGTCGATCTAGAAGCTCCATGAAAACCTGTGCTCTGTGAATGGCTTTGAAAGAATAGTGGCATAATGTCTAGCGTCCTAACAACATACAATGGCCAGCATAACCAACTGATAGAGGGGTGTATTATGTAGACTCTACTCAATTTAAAACGTATTAAGACAGTATGAAACACTCTTTACACTTTAGAGCTCATAGATTTCAAATTACATTTCTTAATTACACTGACTGTCTCACGGAAGTTCAATTTAATGTTATTCTCTGATCTTTTCTTGTTAGTCTTATTTCCCAGGTTGCATGCTCACCTATGATTACTTCATCTGTTTTCTTCTCTTCTGATTCTTGGATTGCTACCTCCACCTGGATTGTGATGTGCATCCATTGGAAAGGGTACTATAATTTTATTTTTCCTTTACTTCAGGAAATACCACAATAAAACAGTCTCGATACAGGATTGTCATCCAAGAAGCAGCCAATGGAGGCCAAGAATGCCCAGATACCTTATTTGAAGAGAGAGAATGTGAAGATATTTCAATCTGCCCAGTGTATAGGTAATTAACTTTTTAAATAATAAGATCTTAGTATAAGTCATGACCTGCTTCTTTATAATTAAATATGCTTATTTAGGGGAAATGTGAAGAGGCAATGGTGTATATCCTCAAATATCTCATTGTATTCCCCTCTTTCCTGGAATATATTTGGAGCAATTAATTTGATAGTCTAATTAATAGAAGAAAAACATTTTAATTGTAAGTGTGCTTTTGAACTTCTGCCACCCAGGAACACATTGAGATCTGAGACCCATAGAGATGGAATATAAAACCTTTATCAGATATTTTACCCCTACACACACACAGACCTACAAAATGCTCCCATTTTTTTTGATTTCTACTTTTCCGAGAACTCTTTAAAGTCCTTTCGTATGTAAAGGAGGCCTGGTGGTGCTGTGGGTTAGGCAGTGGACTGCTTCACCTTAAGGTTGGCAATCCAAACAGCAGCTTCAGGAGAAAAACGAGGCTGTCTGCTTTCATAAAAGTTTGTAGTCTCCAAACTTTTATAGGGTCAAAGTGGATGACTTTATGAAAACAGAAATTGATTCTCTTGCAGTTTCAGGGACGTTCACTCAGGTTCTAGGGGAAGCCTTCTCTCTCTGCTGACTCTGCTGAAAGTCCTTGCCTCCTTCCCCCCTCTCTGTACTTGGTGCCCCACGGAGAGCTCTCTGAGTCTCGGCATTACTTGTCCATTGAGTGGAGGAGGTCCTCAGCATCAGGACTCGGGCTCCAAATGACACGCTCTGCTCCTGGCTCTTCTTTCAAGGGAGGCTCCGATTCTTCCTGCTCTGCTGACGTAAAAGACAGTGCAAGCCATACCCCTGGGATACACTCTTGACCTGGCTTACCCTACAAGGTCGGGGCTGTGACCTAAGTAAGGATTATATTTTACCCTTGTCCTTTACAACTGATTAGCTGATCACATCAGGTAACATCACTAGGCATGGTTGCATCATTGAATATGCCAAATTCATCCTTGCATAACTTCCAAATCACTGAGAATCCTTGCCCAGCCAAGTCGATCGATGATTTATAAAGGGCACAATTCCATGAATTCACAATTTAATTCAACACACACACACACACACACACACACACACAGTTGTTGTGAGTTGTCAGCCATAGAGTCAGTTCTACCTCATGGGAACCATGTATAACAGAATCAAATACTTTCCAGAATCAAAGGCAGCACCAACCTCTCAATCATTGTTAGGCTGAAACCCATTTTTGCAGCCATTGTATCAATCCATCTTGTTGAAGATCTTTGAAACGGATCCTTTCCTTTACCAACTGTATCACCTTTCCCAAGGACTCGTCCCTTCTTGTAACAAACCCAAAATCATAAAAGTAAGTTTATATATGCTGTAAACATATATTCTATGTAGTATATGATAAAATAAAGGTAAATGTATACTTATTATAAATGTATATATTTATAATCCTAACACCTTTAATTAAAAAGCCAAGAAGAACTTATACTGAGTTCTCATATGCTTAAAAATATTTTACTTTTCAATTTTCATCACATCTACATTTTAAGGGACTATCTAATTTGAAAAAAAAAATTACCTAGGGGTAATGATTTTTAAGCAAAGACTAAAACTTCTAACTTTTAAACTACATATATTCTCTGTATATTTCCTTTGGTATGTTAATGGTTATTATTTATAAAAGCAATAACTAGAGTTTGTTTGCTTAGTCATAAGCTTATACATTCTTAGAACTAAATAGTTTTAAACCTGATTGAAATTTAACTTTCACAAATTCATTAATTCATTTCAATCGCTGTTGGATTTTGCTCATTTATGAAGAGAACATGAACTTAAAAATCATTTAACTATCAGCCCATTTACAAATTCCTTCAGCAAAAACACCCAGTGCTCCAACTAAATCTGTGAAATTCAAAGCCTGATTTATTCCACTGTGAATAAATTTGAAACTCAGCATAATTTACTTTTTTAATGGGTTGTTTATTTTAAAGGAGACTCCTCACATTCAACAAAGCCTGGAAAGTCATTAGGAAGTGACCAAGAAGTCTAAAGTAATATCAATTTTATCTTCTTTCACTCCCATTCCTTTTATCTGATGACCAGTTTAGGGAAGAATGGCAACAAACACTGGGCACATACCCAGATACTGCTCGTTTGTCCTCGTGAACCACAGAACCATTGTGTAAACTGCAACTATGGACCCTGTTGTACTGTGGGTAAACATTGAGCCTCTGAGCCCAGCACAAGAGCTCTCAAGGACAATAGCCAAGTGGAAGAAACCAAATCAAATATCATCAGATATCTCTATGGACCCAGGGTTATTGGGAACAGAGAACATTCTGGAGATTATTAGCATGTTCATCCAGTCTATTGGGCATTCTCTACTTTTTTTTTTCTTTCTTTCTGAAGATGCACTTCAATTTATCCACTCATGTTTGATCTAGTTTCCATCACTGACCTCCTGCCATTTCTCTGAATAATCAGCTCCACTGTGTGTGAATTTTATCATTTCTCTTTATGAGTTATTTCAGCTCTGTTCATATGATCAGCACAATTCCTTCCTCTTTAGTGAAACATTCCTGGATTCTGAACAATACTGTACTAGTTCAGGGAGACAAATATCATAAGCAAATTGAAATAGGCCTTTATGATTATTGTATGGTCCTTTTTTACTCCATTAAGATCGCATATGCCAACCTTCGATTTGCTAAAGTAAAACAGAATCAGCATCCCTATAGCATGTACTCTCTGTGTACTGGCAGTGCCCAACTCATTTCATTGCAAAGTAAAAAAATGAACTGTCAATGACGTCTGCTTTATAAAATCATTTCCAGCAACAGGGAACCCGGCAATATTTGTACCTGCATACTTACACAAGATTGTCAGTGTGGTGTGGCCACAGACCTTCGCTGAGCACTGAGGGACTCAAAATAGACCACTGGCTTGTTCTGCCTCGTGCAACTGTTAATTTAGGACTTCCCTTCCTAGACTCCAAGTTTGTCGTCTAAAAATGTAGAGCTTAAAAGCACTGTTAAATCCCACTCTCAGTCGATGTAGGAAGATAAAGTATCTTAGATTCTTACTGTTCATTTTGGCTTACAAAAGCTAAGTGAACTCAGCTCACATGATCTAAATCAATGACTTGTCCTAGGTGAAAATTGGAAAATACTCTTATCGTTTTGGTTTCTGAAGGGAACAGTTTAGACTGTGTGAGTGTTAGAATTATGGCTAATGAGTATAGGTGTATATGAAGTAAATGTAAAATTACTGAAAGTAAAAAAAAAAAAAATTACTGAAAGTAACGGGCTGTTCCTGTACATGTGACAAGTTCTGCAATTTAGCTGTTTCCTGGTTTCTCCCCAATTCTTCAGGTGTTCTCAACATGGATGCCGACAGTGGTATCTTTATGTTATGTTTCTGTTTCAAATTTTGAAATAATATTTCTTTTTTTTTTTCTTTTTTAACATTTTATTAGGGGCTCATACAACTGCCATCCCAATCCATACACACATCAACCGTGCAAAGCGCATTTGTACATCGTTTCTCAAAACATTTTCTCTCCATCTAAACCCCCGACATTAGGTCCTCATTTTCCCCCTCCCTCCCCTCCCGCATGAGCCCTTGATAGTTTATAAATGGGTATTTTGTCATATCTTGCCCTGTCCGACGTCTCCCTTCATCCACTTTTTGGTTGTCTGTCCCCCAGGGAGGAGGTCACACACAGTTCCATGTAATCGGTTCCCTCTTTCCTACCCATTCTCCCTTTACCCTCCCCGTTCTGCCACTCACACCACTGGCCCCATTCTTATTAGAGGTGCTTGCTCATATGAAAGGATATAAAGTAGGCTAAGCAAAGGAGCAGAATTTGTGGTAACACTCAGACTTGAGTTTTCTGGACCACTGTGAAGATGCAGACTTAAGGACATGATTCACAAAGTGCCTTGTGAGTCATGAAAGGAACAGCACTGAGCTCCCTTAAGGCTGGGCTTGTCTGAGAAACAGAGCTGTTGGTGTTTCATCTGTGGTGGGACCGTTCTTCTTCCTAAGATGAACTAGTGCATGAGATCGGTGTCATTTGTCCTCAACTCCCTGGTGTTCTATAATTCATTGAGACATCTGAGCTACTTCAAAGTTCGAGAGAATACCTCATAGAAGTTGGGAAGCAGGACACTACGTCTGAAGTTTTACACACCGACTTCCCTGTGTTCACGGTCTCTTCATTGCTCTAGGGAAACCCCCCTCCTCCCACCCCTGTCCCACCCCTTCTTCCTTCTTCTCTTCCTTGTCTCCTTTTTCTTATTTTTAAACCAATGTTAAGTTCACAAGGAGCTCAGCTTTCTACATTTGACCTGTCTTCCAATGCTTTCTATTGTCACTTTGCATAATGAGCGGAAGTTTATGCGCAAAATGTCCACCTGGGAAAATTGGGAAATCCTGCATTAACTCTGAATCTAGGGCAGAGCGGACAGTTGTCACCTCTAGAGATTGCCAAGTGCCTGATTTTATGATGTTGGCACCATAGCTATTGCTATTCCACTGCTGTCTTTAGGTTGGGGATGTCAGTGATTCTCTTTGGGGTATTTTCTTCCTAGGCTTGACATGGCGGCATTTCTAGCTTGATGTTTTCTGTCATTGCAGGTGGAAGCCACAGAAATGGGGTCCTTGTGTGTTAGCACCAGAGTCTGTCAGGCAGGGACTAATGGGCACGAGTGAAGCCTGTGGAAAGGGGCTACAAACGAGAGGTAAGTAGATTAAGTTTAAATTTTGTTAGTCTATAAAAATGGCTTATTTTCATATTTGAATGTAGCGTGATATTGATTAATTGGGTTATTTACATTATTAGCAGTGGTGTCATGCAAATAATTTAACAATTGGTTCACTGCCTTAATGACTGTTTTAAGTATAAACAAACTATATACCAAAAGGTAATTTATTATTTCATACTATTAATAATCAAATAAGAACAATAAAAGAGGTATATAAAAGTAGATAAGAGTTTTTAAATATTCATGAAAATGCTAAATGATACCTGACTTCCCCCCCCAAAACAATAACACTGTTATTTAAAATATGTAAATGTTGCTTTTAATTGGTTTCCTCTCTTACATTGTTCTTCATCTTTATGAGAGCATCAGGGGTGGTGTAATTCATCTTTGACCACGTTTTTGCTGTAGGAGTAGAATTCTATTCCGCTAGAGGTAGGCCGATTGGACAATAGTTATTATATTTGCTATATCTGAACATCCTGGTATTACGTTTACCTTTGAACCCCCTTTTCTGCTTCTGTTGAACTGGCAGAAATTGTTCTGATAATATTTTTAGCTCTCTGAACTTTTTCAGGATTTGCATAATTCACTCATGTCTCAGGGGACTTTGGGTTTTAGCCCAAAGCTGAAAAGAAGGACCGTGTGTCACTTGCTGGTTGTTGGTGACTTTTTCTCTCTACATTCTGTGTTTGTTTACTTTAGGAACAAGCAAAGGGACATAAAATGTAGTATTTAATCACAAATGTAAATGAATTTTATGAAATGAGTAAATAAATGTTGCAAGCAAAGTTCCATGTACTTTTTTATACCTGTCATGAACATTACTACAGGTGCTTAGAATGAACTGTGGCACAGATGAACATTGAAACAAGTAAACTTTGTGAATTTGTGATTTCCACCGTGGGTGGCTGCCCAGCCACCCACCTTTGAAAGAATCCTGTTGACCAGCGCTATTTTGACAACCGGTTCAAGGAACCCAACCGAAGATTAGGTAGCAGGTCTGCGGAACAGGCCCAAACAGGCTGGATATTAGTGAATATGGATATTAGATTATCTAAATTCTATCAGTTAGGGTATCTAAGAATAAAGGCAACGTCTCCTTTCAATCATAACGTACTTTAAGGGTTATTGTTCCAAATGCATGTTGGACATTAGCTCCACCTGTGGGCTACAGTAAGACTTCAAGCTGATACCTAACCCTGCACATTTAAGTTATTAATTAAAAAGTTACTGAAAGAATGGGCTGGCAACTGAGTGAGTAGACTAGTAGTAGCAAACGTAATTAGTCTATATGTATGCGTTATATGTGTGCTAGAGAATACACAGAGATAGGAGGCTTCAGGACTTTTCACAGGACTATGAACAGTCTTCTGGATCCCAGCTGAGTGGGTTTGGTCATGCATTTCTGCATCGCAGGGCCAATGTGAAGGAGGCCTGGTGGCACTGGGGGAAGTGCTCCACTCCCTACTGAAATGTCGGTGGCTCAAGCCCAAGGGCAGCTCTGAGGGAGAAAGAAGTGGTCTGCTTTTCTCAAGGTTTACAGCCTTGATAACCCTATGGGGCAATTCTCTTCTGTCCTATAGGGTCCCTGTGACTTGGAAGTTCGTTGACAGACGGCTTTGATTTGATTTTAGTTAATGGTAAATATTGTAAGAACCAGAGTGATACTTCTAATTTAAATCTTTGTAAAGCTCACAGAGAATTAAGATGATCAGTCTTGTATTTTATTCATAATTCAGGTGGCAATTATTCAAGGATTGATGAGAAAAGTTTTACTCTTAAAATAGGACCACTTTGTTACTAAAAGCATGTATATAGCATAATCAGGCTGATATCAATTTATCTGACCACTTAGCTTGGTGCACAACTGCCATTGGCTGTCTGTTGACTTCCTGTAAAAATTTACTTTCTGTTTCAGAAAAATAAAAAACATGTTTGTCCTGCTATTACCAACATGTTATTGAATATACAGATCTACACGAATGGTACCTTTGTATAATGCATAATTTAACCCTACACGGAGCCTGGATTTTGAAAATTTATAAGATTTGTGTGGCTTAAAGTTCATTTTAATCACAAAACCTTTTAGTAAATGCTGCAGAAATGTTGTTTCCTAAAATCTGCAGTGAAAATTATTATCTTCTAATTCCATATTTTCTTGAACTTTTGAAACCCTTTTGTGGGTATTATGTTAGCATGCCTGCATAAATATACGTGGATGTGTTGCAAAAGGTAGGAAGGTGCGTTCCCAAGAACAGTTTTGTCTGGGAAGGACATTATGTAAAAGGAGTAGGAAAAAAATTTTTTTAAAAGGAAAAAGGAGTAGGGAAGGAAGCATGTACCTGTCATGTACTATGTGCATATATTTCCGCTGTCTAGTTTTTGTTTTGGGTTTTGTTTTTGTTTTTCCACATAGATGGTGTCTTCTGTGTCTCTGTATATTTTTCTTGTCATTGTTTCTGAATTTGAGAGTCTAATTCTCTATGGAACCTTAAGTGTTGGCAAGTTGCCAAGGCTTGTGTTGATTCTAACCTTTCTCAGAAAAGATCTGGCTTCTCAGAAAAAGGTTGGCTCTTCCAGTTCTGTGGAGCATTCTGGAATCATCTTCCAGTTAAACTTCTCTTTGAGGATTATTTTTTAATCAAAGAAGCATGGATTAAGATCATTACATCATGAAAGACACATTTTCAGACACAAGTTCCATATGTTTTTGAACTTTTTGAAATCCCATGCCATTTTATACTAAGCTTTAGATAAAGAAATGGCCTTTTGCGGGGCAAGTTTATTTCTAGTTCATTATTACTGTGAGAGTCAGCCTTGTGATTGTTGCTTTTATGCTGAAGCCTTTTATAAAACACTCCATGTCAGGAAGACCTTAGAGTTCTGGTTTTGTTTCTTTGGTTTTTTTTGTTTGTTTTCCTCTCTTTCTGTTTTATGAAGCTCAAAGCCTCCATGATTATAAAACTCCTCAGGATAAAAATGGTATTTCTTAAATTGGAGCTAGAATTTAGTGTGTGCCCCACACCCATTCCTGGATCTGCTTTTTGTTTGTTTGTTTGTTTGTTTTTTCTTGGTTTTTCTTTAACATTTTATTAGGGGCTCATACGACTGTTATCCCAATCCATACACACATCAATTGTGTAAAGTGCATTTGTACATCGTTTCTCAAAACATTTTCTCTCCACTTAAACCCCCGACATTAGGTCCTCATTTTTCCCCTCCCTCCCCGCTCCCGCCTCCCTCATGAGCCCTCGATAGTTTATAAATGGGTATTTTGTCATATCTTGCCCTGTCTGACGTCTCCCCTCACCCACCTTTCGGCTGTCTGTCCCCCAGGGAGGAGTCTGACTTTGACTCCCTTTAGAGACCTCCTTGTTAATTTATGGTAGAGAGTCTTATTGATCATCTCCCCAAGGCATAAACATCTTCCATTAATATTGTCATTGATTAGCCTCTGTTACTAATTCTTTAAAGCACTGCTGAGAGAGAGTGCCCAGCTATCAGATAAATAGTGTCTGGGATCTTAAAGGCTTGTTTTCAAAGCCTTTAAGTGAGATGTCAGCTTAGTCCACATGGAAGAAGCACATCAACATCAGTGACCTAAGGTTGTAAACCATGAAGCTTATTTACACTCAACTAAAGGAGGGAATAATATCAGAGCCTAAATTGTGAGATTCTGGCTTGCAGTGGGACGGCAGTGGGAAGCGTAAGATACATTTGTGAGCTCTACATAGGAAAGAAGCCTCCTTTAGTTGAGGGGCGGGAAGAAACTGGTTACCAAACAGGGCATTGGAGAGATGACAAAAGGAGATCAAATGATAAACCTGCCTTGAACAGTTAAAACCTTTTCATTTGATTCCCCTCCGATGTGCTTTGGGCCTCATCTAGTTTTCAACATTTTCTGTATTTTTTACTTTTTTTATATCGGGGTTTATCTCAGATGTATTTCGTTGTTGGGGGTGACCCTCTTGAATTTTTGTCATATATTTTTGTTTTTCAATATACGAACCCCAGGATTGATGAACCTATAGGGGCAGCAGGTAGAATATGGGTTTCTGGGGGTACAGTAGTGGGGGTGGGGATGGTAAAAGGGAGCTGAAGTTAAGGAGTTCAAGAAGGAAGAGGGTATTTTGAAACTGATAGTGGTAGCAATTGTATAATACTGCTTGATGTGATTGAACTATGGAATTATGATATCTGTATTACTCCCCAATAAAATGGTTTTTGGAGAAAAAGTGGTATTTATAGAATCCTAAGCATTCTGTTTTAAGCCAATTCAGAAATCTATTAAGTGATGTATATTTTATGCATCTTCTGTGTCATGTACATTTGAAGTGGTCTTTTAGGATTTCTAAACCATTAGAATGTCAAAAAAATGAAGTACCCTTATTTGAACCTTCACAATTTTGTTTTGTTTATATGTGTAAATGGATTACAACAAAATAAATCATTTTTGTCCTACTCTCTAATTTAAAATGAAGAGATCCAGGACGAAAGAAACAGAATGAACTAATGAAAAGCAAGCGAGGAAGTGTAAGGCAGGTAGGCTTATAGCTGGACTTTATTTCCTTTTCCTGGATATGGACATTTTGGGTCTTACTGCCTTATTTACTGCCCACTGACCCACCAACCAGAACTCCTACCACCATCACCAACTGTCCGAAACATTAAGGGAGCCTGGAGTCCCCCTGCCAAGCGAGTTGTGCTTCACGTAATAAAGAAAGGATGGGGGCTCAGTCTTTATGGAAAAGTAATGTTTGAGAATGTTAGCATGCCTGCATAAATATACGTGGATGTGTTGCAAAAGGTAGGAAGGTGCGTTCCCAAGAACAGTTTTGTCTGGGAAGGACATTATGTAAAAGGAGTAGGAAAAAAATTTTTTTAAAAGGAAAAAGGAGTAGGGAAGGAAGCATGTACCTGTCATGTACTATGTGCATATATTTCCGCTGTCTAGTTTTTGTTTTGGGTTTTGTTTT